AGGTTCTTTTTCTCATTAATCATGATAATAATCCTGGAATCATATAAATCCGTAGGCTTCAATTTCTTTTTCCCTAAAAACTATTACTTACCTATTCTAATTCTAGTTCGAATATTTAAAAATCTAACACTTTGCTTTGAAAGAACCGCAAGAGTAGGGGACGATTTATCCTTAGAATCTACAATGATAGAATAGAAAGTGGAGTGCTGATAGAGAGTTTATATATACTAACTATGTATATATAATTATTTATTTAAGCAATTGTATTATCATTTGAGCTTGATTTGTAATATTATTTTTCTATCCAAAGAAGTATTATATTTCTCAGAAACAAAATCTATATGAATATAATAGAGTATTTATCGAACATTCAGCTTTGTATATATCTTTATATTAACAAGTTATAAAAATGGTTTATTGATGAAGAATGAAAAATTAATTTTTTTGTATTAAAAAATCAAGTATCTGGAAATCATATAGAGAATCTTATACTTTTATTTGGCTTTTTATAGTAATAATTAATAATACAAATAGAACTTAATTAGGTTTTATAAAACCTTATGTAAGGTTTTCAATAATTGATTTTTAATAACCTTAAACAACTCGAGAGATATCTTATTTAAAGAACTATATTTGAAAGTTTTCTCATTTTCTTATTTTTAATATAATCTTGTAATTATATAATTGAAAACAAGGTAAGATTCAATACTCTTAACTAAAGAATATTTTATAATATTGTTAATAAACCTTGAAAATAAATAATTCTATTTCAATATCTACAATAATACAAATGACAATGACTAAAGTCTCTGATTCAGACCTTTTCAAAATAGCAAGCGTGATCAAAATATCGTAATCAATTCTTTGATTAAATTAATGAAATAAAATATTACTATGATTTCTGTACCAATAATGATAAAAGTCTTATAATTTTGACTTTTCTTACAGCTAAATTAGAATTGAAATTGATTTAAGTATATAAATATCAAATATATCAAAAAGATAAGAAGAAGAAGATTTATATACTACTCAGACAGGAATTTGATTGAAAAGAAATTTCTTTTTAGATTGAATAGGATCTAAAGCCCAATAAATATTTTTTCTATTATAATAGTGTTTTTAGAAATATAATAATCATTTCTAATATAATCATTACTAAGTTTTATTATTTGTGATTTAGTAAATAAAATATTTCATTTAAATGAATATTTAGGGTATTTGTACTTTTTCATTTTAAATTATCAATTCTAAGGTTTCTAAACTTATTCTTAATAAAAAATATATTATTCAATAATAAAACGCTAGAAGAACACTTTGTGGTTTAATTAAGATATCAATTAATATAATCTAGTTTAACTTGGATCTTTATTAATTGTATATAATCTAAAATTATATTATATAACTTTGAATCAGTGATAAGGAATAGCAAATAAAATTGAAAAATACATATTGAAAAATAACTGTACTTTTTATATAATTATAGATTTTAATTTTAATAAAGGATTTAAATAACAAAAAGCAGTATTTCAATATAGCAAATCATAATATAAAAGCTATTCTATTAACAAAAGTAAGATTATTTGCTTCGAAATTTATAAAATATTAAATTTAAAATAAATATATATTTTTTTCAATCTACACAAAATAGATTTATAGATTATTTATTATTGATATTATCAAATAAGGGAACCTTGTATTTAGAATTATATTTAAAAAGGAATTTTTATCCAAACATTTTGATTCGAATATTAATCTTTAATATACAAATGGATCTCATATTTTTTAATTGTATTGCTGGATTTAAATCTTTCTTAATGTTACAGAAGTCTTTATAATACTTTTTGCTGTCTTTAGTTTTGTGACTTTCAATTATAATATTAAACTATTATTAGTTTTTAGAAAGAAAAATATAGTTTTATAATTGAAATTATTTTCTAAAGATAATATAACATTTTAAGGAAAGGTTTCTATAGATTTCTATATAGTTATTCAAAACATAACAGGAAATTTGGAAACAAGATTAGAGAGGTAAAATATATTCATTGTATAAATGAAAGGTGTTTTTAAATAAATCGCTTATTATATTCTCTAATCATCTTTAATTTGAACTACTTTTTATCACCAAAAATCTCAAAAAATAGCATTTTTAATTTTCTTATTTGTGAATAAAATTCATTGAAAATTTGTGTATATATATATAATTCAAATTTTTTAATTTTTATTTTATAAATCCAATTTATTGGGGTTTTCTTGAATCGATTTCTGAAGCTTCAAAATATCTATTTTTAAATTTATATAAAAATTATGTATAAATTTGAAATTTTCATAAGCTCTTTTATAAATTTCCGATAAAAATTGCTAGAAATAAATTATAAAACTTTGCTATAGGTTTATATTATGTTTATTCTGAAGATGAAAATACAAAATAGGAAATTTCTTATATATAAATATTTCAAAAAATAATTCCGAAATTATAGGGCATCTTTTTTTCTATTTAAATTATATTTTAATGACTATTAATTTCTTTAATTTTTTAAACTTTTTAATTTTTCAAAAAAGCTTTTGTGAAATTTAAATTCAAAGTTTTCAAATGTTTAAGTAATTTCCTTTAAACCATTGTTACTAAAAATTATTAGAGATTTTATCAAAATTATAAATTCATATATAATTCTTATACAAATTCAACAATTAATATTTTGAAGCTTCAGAAATTAATTCACAAAAATCAGAAAAATATCAAATTCTAATGTATTATTAATATCGATATAAAGATTTCTTAATTTCAATTTATTAAACTATATTATATTTTAAGAGAAACATTGATAGATTAAAGAAAGTGATTTTTGGTATGAAAAAGTGACCCAGTATAAAAGTAGTTAGAAAACAGGGTATTCCACTTATATTTTATATAAAAATATTATCAATAATTTTCTTAATTAAAGTTTCTTCAATTTATATATAACAATTATATTTTTAAATCATAACTCTAAGTTTTGAATCTTTATAGTTTATTAATAACATTTAATAAACATGATCTGATTTTCAATTTAAAGATTAATAACCTATAAAAAGAAAAGAAATATTTTCTTTTCAAATTACAAAAGAGAATCTTATTATTGAAAATGTCTATTTATGTAATGAATACTTAGAACTTTTAATATTATTAAACAAAATTGCTTTTTGAATACTATTAGATATAATTTAATGTTCATTTTAATTTGTATATAATCAATTTCAATAAAATTCTTATAAACTATTGTAAGCTTATTAATAATTATAATTCCATTCAAAAAGGGACTTAAATATAATATAATTCATTATTAAATGGATTATATATCTAAATGAATCACTTTAAAATCTTACTGAAATTGATCTTTTCTTAATATTTATTATTATTATTATTATTATATTGATTAACGTCTGTTTGAACCTCCCTAAGAATATTTAGACATGCTAAAATAAGGTACTGTTTAAACGGCGTGATTGTCGTGATCAAATTTAACAATTTAGCTTTAATGCTAGGGGCTATTCGCTTTTCTACAAAAACAATCCGCTTTTGCTTTTAGAAGGGTACATTTGATCCAAATTGTTGTTGGGATAAAGCTTGATTCCTGGGTGATTAGGTTTGTTGAAGATTTCGATCTCTTAATTGAAAAAGGGGGAAGTGGGGGTGTATTGCTATATAATTAGCTAAATGTTAGAGCTCTTGTATTATATATTGAGTTTGTGTTTTTACAGATTTTAGAGGAGAAGTATATTAGAATAATTAATTGAGTAATAGATCTATAGAAGAACAGATACTTTATTAAAAAAGTAATCCTATAATTAGAGATTCTTTAATAGTTAGAATAGATCTAAATATAGAATTCTAAGTTTATAATTAATTAAATAAACTTACTAGATGTATATAAAAGCTTTTTGATATATATAATTGCTTATTTATTAAAATATATCTCTGTAAAAACAAAAAACCAGTTTAAACACTTTAAATTATTTATTATATATTTAAAAAAGTAATATAATTCTTTTACACTTCTACATAAACAATCCAGTTTATTATTTTGATAATTAAATCACTAATAATAAATAGTATAATTACCATAACCTATTTTCATAATTAGTAGTCAATATAGAACTACTCTTAATAAAATTAATTACTTTGACTCCTTTATATTATATTTAGAAGATCACTTTTTATAGCTAGCAGAAAAAAAAGTATTCATTTCTTTCCATTAGTTAGTTTTTGTGTGTAGGCATTTCTGGCGAACAATCATCCGAACACCGCTGATTATTAATAACTTCTTGATTGTTTAATCCATAAGTCCAATCACACCTACATCTACTAAACAATCTACTTCCTTATTGTCTTTAATCTCCATATAACCAAATAATCACTTTACTCTAATATTATATTATTTCATTACCTTATAGCATTTATAAAAAGTTTATTATATTATAAGCAATACACTTCTACATACCCCTCAAATAATTAATACATTATCAATACACATCTAAATCCGGCCACTCAAAGAATCTTTAAACATACTAATCAAATACTCCAGTCCACACCATACTCCAATTACTTTTATATTAAACACATATGAATTACTTTGGATCTACTTAGATCCAAAGATTAATTAAATGTCATTATAATAAATTATATATCCATAACCAATATAGTATTTATAATCAATAATTTGTTCTGATTTATCAAAGAAAATCATATAATCCTTAGGTGGAAATTGTAGTTATTATTCTTTAAAGATTTAAACTACTTCCTTTTTAATTAGCCCTTCCATCGAATCCGTTCTACAGCCTATCAAAAAATACGGGTGAAGTAATTTTGACCATTAAATCTCTAGAATAAGGAAGCTGAGGTATTAGATTCTTATAAAAAACCCTCTAGCTATGCCTACTCCTCGTCCACACTTTCATATTGTGGGTTTCAGGTGTTTCGCTAGTAAATACTAATTATCGATTGTTTTTAAATAAAGTACAAATTATAGCTTAGCATGTTCTAATATAACTATTCCCAATGGCAGGTTGGTTTCTTTAATAAAAACTATTATTAATATAATTTTATATACCGGAATCATTTCTTTTGTAGTGGTATTGATTACTTTATTGATATAACAAAAATAACCTTTAATACCTATACCTATACTTGATTTACTTTAACCTAAACTAGATTTATATTTATTAGCATACCATACTTCAATACCAAATAATACTACTAAAAAAACACAAATAATCACTACTTTTCTTAGAAAGGAGATTAGTGGTTTATATAGAGTTCGGATTATTAATTTAATATACAAAGCTATTTTTATGGCTTTCACTATACATATTTTGATATACTACAAAAACGAAAGCTGGTGATTAAAAAAAATTCCAAGTTATTTTAGAGTAAATTGAATATTTTTATTCGTAATAATAAACACTAAAATGATTATTAGATTTAGATTTATAACTAATAATAAATTAATTATATTATACCACCTGATTATATAGAGTAACTCGAATTTCTCTAGAGTGAATAGAATTTTGTTATTCTTACCCTATCAAATAATTTGCCAAATATATTATTAAAGGATTCTGGCATTTGTAGATAAATATTTAAAGAAATAATAGATTGTGATATTGTTAGTATAATTGAAGTGAAATTTTATATTTCAATTAAGAAGCTTAATAAAATATAGTATATAAAGTATAGATAATAATAGAAATCTTTGGGGAATACCACATACTACCAGGTATTTCTTTATTATAATATCTTTGAATTTTATTCTAACTTTTCTATTTGTAAGAAATAAGTTTATAAATTTGAGTAGCGAGATTAGCCAATCTTACTTGTTTATTTGGCTTAGAAATCAGCGTTTTAGGAAAGTATTAAAGACTCCCTGTATATTTATTATAACTATAGAGATTACATTACCAATTACTAATACTAGCTCTGTATCATGGGTAAAAGCAGCAATCAAATCTATTCCCAATTGCCTGAAAAGAGCTCCGTAATACTGTGGGCTGATTATTTTGTGTCATAGGGCCATCCAAACTATTTAATTAGCTATATACCTTTCAAATTTCTTTCCAATACAGAAAATCAAAACTATCAACCACCATAATTACAATAACATTTTATCTTTTTTACCTACCTTGAGAAGTATTACTATTTCCACTAACTTTTATTCTTTTAAATAATAATTTAGAGTTAGATATAATACAAAGATCTCCCGAATCAATAATTTAACACTCGGTCAGTATATTTTAAAAAAGCGAATAATAGTTTAATCTACTCCTAATGAAGTACATACAATTTCTATAATATATTTTTCTATTTCTTCTATTGAAATCGCTTTTTTCCAAAAAAGTATTCCTTTATATATATAATTGCATAATGGATTGTTTGATAGATTATTATCTACTCTAAATTAATTCAGGATTATTGTGAATAGAATATCTACTTTTTCTTTTATATCAAAGATCTCCTATTTATTGATTTTTAGAGAAAGGGATTTTATAATACTTTCAGGAGTTAATTTATATTATCCCATAATTTAATATAATTCTTTATTATCTTTAACTCTATTTAAATATATTATTCAGTATAATCTCTTAGCCTATCGTACTATCTTTTATAAAAGATAAATAGTATTAATTTTCTTTTCAGAGTCTGATTTTCTCTATACTTCTATATATGCTTGATAAGCTTCTCTGTACTCATCCGTTTACCACAGCAAAGCTTTTCTTACCTTTCGATTAATCTTGCTGATTACTCGGATCGCTTTATTTAATATATTTATAAGCTTATTAATATAAATTTCAATTTTAGTTGTAATCTGGATATCTATATTATTAAGGTAAGCTAGTTGGTTAACCATTAGTTCATCTAATCTAAACAGATTCATTTCCTTTATCTAATAGTAATATTGATTCTACTCTATTATTCCATGATTCGTTAGAATAATAACCTGGGTAGTATAATTAGAATCACAATAGAGTTCTTCCAATATCTCTATATATACAAAGGGTATATTAGAGAAGGTTAGATCTATTATATACCCTTTTATATAGATAAATATATTTGGAGTATCTATAAACTCCATATTCTATTCGTTTGCTTATATTGCAAGTTGTACTCCTTGATTAATTATAATCACCCCTGGTTTCCATAGATTGTACTTTATATTAAAGTTCTCTCCTATGATTATACACTTATTTGAAACTAGGTGTATAATATAATTAATTATATTCAAAGTGTATAGAGTTTTATAAATATTTAGAATCAAGTATTCATTAACTTATATTTAGAATAAATCTCTATTTTTGAGTCAACTCATTTATTTTACTTTTAGATTCGCGTCTTTTTGTATATATATTATAACCCTAGAACCTTACTTATTCTCCTTTAAGTTTCCTTAAAGATTCTAGTTATTAATCAATTAATATTGATTGTATATATTATGATTTTATATTATTAAATTTCAGTAAAGTCTTAGTTTCTATATATAGATTATATCTAATTAAATCTTTATTATTAATTGTAATAATATAATATAATTTGTATATCCCTAGTCTATATTTATCTAAATAATAATAAAACCTTTATTTCTTTGAGTATACTTATTGATTATATTACTCATAAAAAGGATCTAGGTGTAGTATCAATTATTATAGAGTTTTCTATATCAATTATTTCCAGATTTATTAAAGTAAAGACTTTTTCTACTAACATTTCTATATTAAGATTCTATTGGTTTTAGCTGTAAGCTGAATATATATATAATATAGTTAGTGTGATTGGCAAACTTGTATTAAATCTGTATAAACACTTACTAAGATGCTTATTCTTATATATTATAATTCTTATCCCCAAAGTAATTGGGATTTCTATAATTATTACTATAGGAGGTAGAAATGATTTAGGAATATATTCTATTATATTTGTATTTACTCTATGCAATATCTTATAATCTTTTCTACTAATAGCTCTAATTACAACTAGTTTCTTTGTGATTAGAGTAATCTATTATTTAGTATAAACCCTAGGGGTAATTGGGCAATTAGAATGGCTAGTATAAAAGAATCCGTGGCAATTAGTGTATTAAACTGTTCTAGTATATTGTTGATGTATGAATACATTCTTATACTTAATATTTAGTTTCTCATATATTGAGCATTATGGGGCTTTATTATAAATAAAGAAATTATAATATTCTAAATAGCTAATACTATAAAATTGAATTTCCTAAGATTTATTTAGAAGAACTGAATAGAAGCTATTATTGAATAATTAGAAACACAATATTGCAGTATTAAAGCCAATAATTTAGATGGTTTTTTTAATAATTAAATTAATCTCACTACATACCAAACAATAATTAATTAACTACTTACCAATTTAAACTATAATCTTCTCTTTAATAAACTTAGTAGATATGGGAGCAGAAATTCCTTCGATATGATAAAAATCGTGAGATACTTGTGGAACTGTATATATAAACCATTTCTCTAATTTGCATATACTTATTACATAAAAAATCTTAAGGACCTATTCAGTGTTATCCGTTTTTATAATTTTTTTTCAACTAACACTAAAACTGTATCATAAAGTTCAACCTATATTATTCTTTTGAAAAAAGAGGATCTCTACTAATATAAATCCAGTAACTACCTCTTTTATTTTGAGTTTTAATAAAAAGGGATTTATCTCTGAGAACAGAGTTTCCCTATTAACTATTATAAGGATTGTTTTCTTGATTTGGTTATTCTCCCTTTTGAATTTACATGCTTCTATACGCTTAGTATTTGCTCCTTTAATAGAAATAGGGCGCCTTGTGTTAATAAGGGTTTTAATAAGGCTTTCTACCTTAGGCACTATCCAAGTTTTTAATGTATCAATATAGATCTTCTGCTTATTACTTTTTGATTATAAATACTCTATTGTAAGCTCTATCCATTAATCAGAAATAGTTTTTATTGCTTTTAGTAATATAGAAATAATTATCCCTTTAATATTCACTACAAGTCTATATTATTGATTCTAAAAACCTTATATAAGTTTATCTACTAATACTATAAACACCTTGATTATTTTTTGTTTTTTTTGTTCTATCTTATTGATTCTTTCGAATCGATTCTTAATTATACTAAGGGTAGAGTTTGTAAATGATTTTATAATTGGTGGAGGGGTAATACTTGCCCCTGGAGTAATAGTATTTGATTGAAAAGGGATTACCTTTTAGGTTGGGAAACTGCTCAGCACGCCGAGGGTGTGTATTATTAGTGGTATAGAGAAACCTTCTGTGAGGCCCTTAAATATGATTAATTCATGATTGTTTCAGTAGTTATATAGATGATTGTTATTTATATGTTATCGGGTTAAGATGTTTCTTAATATTTATATTATAATAATTAATCGATATTCTTTTAAAAAATCAGTAAGATTTAATAATAATAGAAATATTAATAATCAAAAACTATAAATATTTATATTATATTTTAAAATTAATTATTATACAAAATCGAATTTTAAATAACCATTGAGAAATTTATAGTCTCTGTATAAACAATAATAATATTTAGGAAAAAAAAAAAATTCAGATTACGGATTTGCAAAGTTTCTTTCTTTTTATCAATTATTACAATGATTTTAGAATCTCGTAAATTTAAAGATTTTAAATTCTTTCTTTTTGAAAACTAGTTTAATATATTAATTCTAATTCTAATTCCAATTTTAATTCTAATATAATAGAATTTAATATATAATATAATAAGGGCTAGTTATTAAACCTCTGATTTTTGTTGTGTTTGAATTTAAAGTTTTAATTCTGTATATATTTATTGTTTTTATTTATTAGATTTATTAAAATAATACAATACCAATATTTTACATTTTTATTTGGTTTTTTGTTTCTTTTCTTATTTAATTTCTATTATAGATTGCATTTAATTGCAATGTAGTTTTTTATATGTATATCCGTGTATATATATATGATTATATATATAGTTAATTTATAAAAGTATTTTATAAATACTTTATTTTTAATTCTATAGTTTTAGATTTTAAGGATAAATTGTCTTTTGTTTATGTAATTCTTTCAAGTCAAAGTATTACAATTTCTTAAACAGTTTTTTATTTACTTTTTTATTCAAAATCCTTATATATAGATTTTAATACAGATTCTAATTCATATTTAAATTCGAATATCGAACAATATTTAAAACAAATATATCTCAAATTATATTTTTTTTATTTAGAAACATATTTAAGAATATTTTTCTAAATATTCTTCAATTAACATTTTCAATTTAATTATTATTGAAAAGCTTATTCTAAAAACGAGTATATTATTGAAAAGCTTACAGTTATCTTGAATTGAATTTTTTTCTCTAATTGTTTTATTGATTTAGTTAAAATTGAATATAAAATTGATATAATATTTTAAACTTTTCCTTTTTGTTTAATCAAAAAATTGTGTTTCAATATTAATAATAATTTATAGTCAATTAGAAAAATCTTTACATATACTAATTCACAAAATAGTATATTTATAAAGATATATAATTATATAATATATAGAATACAAAAGAACTTGACTTAATTTTACAAATTCATTAAATTATATTAATAAATAAATAAAGTAAATAATAACATATACAATATTAGAACACAGCTATTTATTAAATATTAAAATCATACTAAAACTTGTATAAATTATCTATATATTTCTTAATAATATAGTTTTTATGTAATAAATTCTATATTAATCTCTATATTTTCAATTAAATTTTAATGAACATAAAATCAGTTATTTTTAGGATTTTCATTTATTATAAAATCGTTACAAAAAATTAGTATAAATTGAAAATATGAAATTTATTAATAAAATAAACAAAATTGATATATATTCCTCTTAATATTAATTTAATCTTATAAATAATAATAAATTCATAGTTTTGAAATATAAAAATTATCATTATTAAATACTTTACTATATAACAATAATATTTCGAAAACTTTTATTATTTTTAATAATTTCGAATATTTCTCTTTTATAATTATAATTAGAGCGAAATAACTATTTTCTGATATGATTTTGATATTCGATGTATAGTTATATATGGTTATTATAAATAAATTCTGTATACAAAATGAAATAATTCATTTAATGATATAATCTACTTAATAATCAATTATATCATAAGGAATATAGATATCACTAGATTTCTCTTTTTGATTTGTTTACTATGTAAGATCAATATTACAAATTCGAAATAAACAATATTATATGTAATTTTAACTACTTTATAAGTAAAAACTACTATTAACTTGCTTTTAATCTTATATTATTTTTGAATTTAATTTTTTATATAAATATATTTTGGAATATATAATCTTTTTTTAAAAGCAATATTAGAAAAAAATAGAGTATGTAATAAAATAATAGATTATAATCAAATACAATCATTAATAAATAAATACTTTTTTCTATATAAGACTAAAATGTATTCTCAAAACTGATTTTTCCTTTTTTTTAAATACAAAGTATTTTACTTAATAAATCTGAAAAGATTATTAGGAGATTGGACTTTGTATTTATTTAAAAAAAATTGTTTAATATTATTACAGGAGGGTACAAGATGAGTTAATAATATCTTACCTTTTAATAAGATTTAATTAAATTTAGATAAATACTTCTTTGGTTATTTAAAGTTTTTATATTTAATCTATAACATACTTTTTCTTGGCCCTTTATAACTAACAATAACAACAAGCTTACTAATGCTCTCTATAATTATTTTTAATATTACTCAAAATCCATACCTACACTTATATTATATAGCTTTTAAAATCCTAAAATTAATAGGATTTCCATTCTCATATTATATAGAAATATGAATTTTGAAGCTTTTCAAAGATTGTAAGCTTTTTAAAGTAGTAATCTATACAACCACTCAAATAGATTAAGAAATCTAACGAATCTAATAAATCTAATAAACGCAGTAATCTTTCTAAATCCCTCCTGATGATTTTTTTAAAGTTCTTTTCTAAATCATTTTCGAAATTTCTTTTAAATCTATTAAAATTCTTCATCTCTTTTAT